GTTATTAATGGCAAAATAACACTGTTAAACATCTGCTGGATGAAGAACTTCATTATGACAGTTTCCAATTGGCATCATTTCTTTTTCTAAAATTTAAATTTTAAGTCCTACATATTTCTTGAAAACATCTGTCTTCAAAATGCTCCAATACCAATACTATAAGGCCTTTCTTTTGCTCTAACATCTAACACAAAAAGGACGCCGTCCCATTAATTCAACATGCTCTTTACAAGGCAACTTAACACACACATTTTTTTATAATTCAGAAGCTACATAATGATCACTTGCTATTTTGCTGCAAAATCAATGAAAGCTGCATGCAGGTGAAACAGTAGACAGGGAGTTCCAGATAACTGTCGGTTATTAAGTTCTGACGGCATGGTGTGGAAAATTAATATGCTTATTTAGCAGAAGTAGCTAAAGTACATGCATCAGTGGCTGGGATCAATTAGAATATAAATTAGGTGTCTAAACATTTAAATGAGAGCTTAATTTGATGTCTGGCATGTCTGAGTTATTCACCTTTAAAATGACAATAGCAAAGAGAACAAAATCAAACAAAGCATTGATTTATAGGGTGGGTGGGGCATAGGACTCAGGACACGAAACTTGGAAGCGAAGACAGTGGAGCATTAACAAGCTGTTAACGGCAAAAAAAAAAAAAATTACGAGAGCCATTTCCTGTATTCTCATTTTTTAAAGTTTTCAATTCTCTTAAACAAAACACACACACACACAATAATTACAAAACAGAAACATTCTTTAGGCACGACGTAGCCCCTCTTCTGTCTTCTACCCTGCCTCTCTGCCCCTTCAGGTGGTGGGTTTCAAAGCAATGGTGGGTAATCGGTAGAAAATAAAACAAATGCTCTCCTGAATCCCGCTGAAAGAATATTAAATTCCTTCACCCCGTCAGGGTTAACATCATGTACAAGCACATGATGATGGATATTTGACATATTGTAGCTACAGCAATTAAGTCACATGTCCACGCTCTAAATGTTAAATCATAGGAATGTCGACTTAAAATTTTTTTTTTCATTGATAGTTGTATTTAAACATTTTGAGACAAACAAAAAATTCCCAAACCACATAGATCCATTCTCTCCCCACCTATTGACCCCTCCCACGATCGAATGAACGAGAGAACCATAGTAACAAAAGCCACGAACCGCAGTGCCCGCAGCGGACGTGTTGGATGGCTGTTCCAGGTTTAGGCGCTGCCATCCCCAGTCCTGGCTTTCCGGGCTTCGATCATCGGCTTGGTCACCTGTTTGCGGTCGGTGGCTAGTCCCAGCCAGCACATGAAGTCAATGAACCAGGTGGTGGGGTTGAAATTTAAGCCAAATTCACTCGCAGAGTAGTCAAAGGGGAAGGTGTGATGGTAATTGTGGAAGCCTTCACCTGGAAGACAAAGTGGGCATTGAAATAGCTCGGCCACCGCCTCTCAGCACAGGTGTTTCTACCACCTATGTCTGTGAGTGTCTACCACGCGCAAGACATCGCGCCCTGCTCCCCGGGAGCACGAGACTGGGTCCTGCCCTCAGGAAGCAGGTGTTATACTTAGCTGGCTAGACAAGCTACCTGTGAACAGAAAAATGATGATAAAGTTATCAGCATAAAGTCACAAGATTAATTGTCCTGTGTGCATTACACATACGATACCATGACTTCAGGGCTGTACTTCTTAAGCTAAATGCTACATGGCAGATGACAGATCACCATTCTGATG